TCATTTCCAAAATGTTTTCATAGACATCCCTACTCATTGCTATCCCTACTCATCCCTACTCATAGACATCCCTACTCATAGACATCCCTACTCATAGACATCCCTACTCATAGACATCCCTACTCATTGCTATCCCTACTCATCCCTACTCATAGACATCCCTACTCATAGACATCCCTACTCATAGACATCCCTACTCATTGCTATCCCTACTCATTGCTATCCCTACTCATAGACATCCCTACTCATAGACATCCCTACTCATAGACATCCCTACTCATAGACATCCCTACTCATAGACATCCCTACTCATAGACATCCCTACTCATAGACATCCCTACTCATAGACATCCCTACTCATAGACATCCCTACTCATAGACATCCCTACTCATAGACATCCCTACTCATAGACATCCCTACTCATAGACATCCCTACTCATAGACATCCCTACTCATAGACATCCCTACTCATAGACATCCCTACTCATAGACATCCCTACTCATAGACATCCCTACTCATAGACATCCCTACTCATAGACATCCCTACTCATAGACATCCCTACTCATAGACATCCCTACTCATAGACATCCCTACTCATAGACATCCCTACTCATAGACATCCCTACTCATAGACATCCCTACTCATAGACATCCCTACTCATAGACATCCCTACTCATAGACATCCCTACTCATAGACATCCCTACTCATAGACATCCCTACTCATTGCTATCCCTACTCATCCCTACTCATAGACATCCCTACTCATAGACATCCCTACTCATAGACATCCCTACTCATAGACATCCCTACTCATTGACATCCCTACTCATTGACATCCCTACTCATTGACATCCCTACTCATTGACATCCCTACTCATTGACATCCCTACTCATTGACATCCCTACTCATTGACATCCCTACTCATTGACATCCCTACTCATTGACATCCCTACTCATTGACATCCCTACTCATTGACATCCCTACTCATTGACATCCCTACTCATTGACATCCCTACTCATTGACATCCCTACTCATTGACATCCCTACTCATTGACATCCCTACTCATTGACATCCCTACTCATTGACATCCCTACTCATTGACATCCCTACTCATTGACATCCCTACTCATTGACATCCCTACTCATTGACATCCCTACTCATTGACATCCCTACTCATTGACATCCCTACTCATTGACATCCCTACTCATCCCTACTCATTGCTATCCCTACTCATCACGACCCTCGGGCCATTTCACATTCACTAATGTCGATATTGTTTAGCTGGTACTTAGTACCTAGTTCGTTCCTAATCATATAACCATCCACTTGTCACTATTAAACTTCGTCTGACAATTTCTAGTAAATTTTGAAAGAAAACGTTGATCTTCCTGCAGCCTGTCTGACTCTTCCTACCAGTTTATAACTGTTCTAATGTGAGTGTCACCAGAAAATGTACGACAGCTGTTAACTGGCACACACCTACTCCCCCCTTTGTGTATATGGTGAAGAATTCCGGTACCATCAGAGTCCAGACACTGTCAGCCGTCCTGTGCCCTCACTGTACTCCGGGTATGGTGGCGTGTTGTGTGTGGGGTCACCATAGTCTGACCCAGGTCAAGGGAAGGCAACTGCAAGGGGGAAAGCGCCAAGCCATGTCGACTATATAGCACTTGGAAGGGATCAGGATAGAAATTGGGGATGGGACGGGGGGAGGGAATGGTGCTCAACCACTTGGACGGTCGGGGATTGAACGCCGACCTGCATAAAGCGAGCACGTCGCTCTACCGTCCAACCCAAGTGGCTGTGCCAAGTGGGTCCCTCCAGTACCTCAAATTGTGGTCATTTTGTGCGTCGGTCTCCGTCCTTAACAAGGGTCGGTCAGGTATATTAATGTGGCTCCCCCTCACACACACATCTGCCTGCAGCAACAACAACAACAAGACAACGACGTCGCTCTTGCCAAGTAAGTAATCACCATAAGAAGGCACCAAACCGGGAAGGCTGTGTAGCACCACCAAAGTGCGGGATAATCAGAGGGCGCTAAATATCACCAAGGATGCCAATACGAGAACAGAAACGCATAAGGCGAACGATATCAAAAGTATCCGAGTCACCAAGAATTCTATCGAGGGACAAGTGACCGCGAGGGACGGTCGGGAAACGAGACACACGCTCGTCCTGGAAGTCAGGACATTCAACAAGGATATGCACGACCGTAAGAGGAACAATGTAATTTGGACAATAAGGAGCAGGGCGGCGCTCCATTAAGTGACCGTGAGGTAAACGTGTACGGCCATACGTAACCTAGCCAGAGCAGTTTCCCATCGCCGGTTACAGTGATAGGAGGACGGCCATGAGGACACACTACTCTTAAGTAAGTAAGTAAGTAATTATCAAAAGAAGGCACCAAACCGGGAAGGCTATGTAGCACCATCAAATACGCAAAATAATCAGAGGGCGCTAAATATCACCAAGGATGCCAATACGAG